TACTGATATTAGGTATTGAGATCCAGCAAGCATGCGATATTTACTAAATCGCTCTTCTAATGCATCTGTCTGTATCTTTCCTGCAAGAAAATATTTAAATCCTAACTCATGAAAACAATACTTAGATAATTCTAATAACCCATGTGTGGTGTGAGAAACAGCTAAATGCGTTTCTTTTGTAAAGGTCCCAGTTGTGGGAGCATTAGCTTTCCAAACATCTAACCATAACAGAAATCTTTTTAAAAACTTTTCATTCAAAGAATTATTAGGCAATATTGGCATTTGCAATGGATCATTTAGCCTCTGACCTTTCAAAGGTGTTTTAACATTGACAATATTCCACCAGTTATAAATTAGTTCTATGAAACTTGCAGTACTAGCATAATTTAAAATATTATTCTCCTTGCCAATGGTAGAAAGAGCAACAATAACATAATTGTTAAAAATACTGTTAACAAGTTTGACATTTTGTCTCTCCAAGTTTGATGGGTTGAGGGATTTTAAGGATAATCCATATGCATATTTTACTAAAGAATTTGACTCAATTTCATAAAGCTGTTTTAGTGATTTAAATGAGGCAGTGGATAATGGTAATTTCTCAAAATCATCAAAATCAGAATAATAAAATGCTTGTTCACAATTTTTTTGATTCAACCAGTTATTTCTTATACTTTTAAAGATATGAACAGAATCGATGATAAAAAACAAAGGATCACTTTTATTACATGGGTGTTGATAAACAATACTTAACTGGGGTGGGGAAGAAAAAAAAGACATTGCTTTTCTGTTTATAGCATTATTATCACTGACAACACACACAACTTTAAACCCTAAACTATGTAAACCAATTATTGTTTTCTTTAAAACTGAAAAAAGGTCTTCAGCTTGGATTCTTTTAATGGGCAGTATATGTACAACTTCTTTAAATGATGATAATAAACTTTGTATCATGAATACATATGCTGTATTTGCAACACTATTACTGTTATATGCCATACCAACAACATTTCCTCCCTTATAGTCTATGTATGGTTTTATGTGTATTTCATCCAACATTAATGTAATTATAAGGTCTTCTGAATTCAAGCCATCTGCTTTTTGTTTTATGAAAGATAAGAAGTTTTCATCAGACTGCTCTTTAATGGGATTAGTATTAAATCCAGAAAATATTCTGTAAATTGTTCTTGGATGTGGCATAATGATATTGCATGAACTTCTAAAAAATTTATATGCATGGGAGAAATGGAATATAAAATAACGAAGAAAACATACATATGTGATGAATAACGTATGCATTCCTTTTTACAAATAAGATTGGACAGTTGTTCTGTAATGAATTCAACAGTTTGTTGTTTATCACTATCATCAGTCTTAACAGTTTTCAATAGAGTAATAGCTGTTTTTATAACATTGGAAAATAAATTTTCATTTTGTGGTTTAGAAATATTCAATACAAAGTCTAAAACTTCAAACAAGCTATTTATATTATTTATTACTTTAGGAAACACTTCGTTATCTATTATTTTTAATTCTGATTTACCGATAAAAACATGACACATTAAATTTTCTGCCACTACTACTGAAGCTTCAATAATCGGTACAGACTCAGTATCAATAATAAGAAAAACAACTTTACCGTCTTTGAAAATAACTGTCCAAGCATCAGGAACATTCTCAGACTTTATGCACGATAAAAAAATTCAGAAAACGAGTAAAAACATTTTTTTCTGTCGTAAATTTCTTTACTGGTTATGCTTGCAGCAAGAGCACTCTGTATATTGTTTCTATCAATTCGAACTCTTCTATCATCGGCAACTTTCTCTTGATGTTGAAGATTTACCTGATAAATATTTTGGACAGCCAGGCAGCTGTGAAGGTACAGCATCCTTTCGAAGCCTTGGATGAATTAAATTAATTAATTTTTATTGAAGTTCCTTTTTTCTCATCAAAATGTTCGACTGTTCTTTCAATATCTGATTCGACAAAATGTTTCTCACAAACCTAAAAAGAATGAAAAATTCAGTATTGAGTATCATTGTAGATTCATAAGAAAAATCTTACAAATAATTTAAATGTAAAATGAAAATACAGATTTCCATTCAGAAATAAATTTTGGAACCTGAAAAATACTAGCTAAAATTCATCTACCTAGTACTTCAAGACATACTCTACACATTATGTACTGGAATGATGTGTATGTATACTGAAATTCAGCTGATATTCTAGAAAGTTTTTGCTTACCTAATATTAACTTAAATATTGTACTTTAAATAATATCTCACTAAATTTCATTACAGATTTAAATGCTTTAGAATTAATGACGAACTGTATTATTTGTTGATTTATGTATCAGGATAATTAATTTCAGATTTTATAGAATTCAAATTAAGTTTATAACAACAATATCATATATAGAAGTTTAATTAGTATAAAAAAAGCAACAATAAGGCCTAATTTTTGATCGCGAAATAAATCATAAGTTTAAAAAATTGATTGTACGTACCTTAGAATGATTTGATGGGATGAAATTCTGCCGGTGAATTGCACGGAGCCATTTTCTGCGCAACGAATCCGATTTGGGTATAGAAAACATCTGTACTTTTCAGTGTTTGGATAGTTTCCTCTGCAGTTAGGAACACAACAAGTATAAACCATCCTTCAACAGATTATTAACAAATGAAATATTATTAAATGTTTTATGAAATATAGAAATTTCCCGCTAAAACTACAAGCATGCTTGCACGTTGACGTTACTGCTGAAAGGAGCGGTGACGGTTTGTTATGCCTACTAGTCCCTGGCTGACTGACGTCACTCGCAGCAGAAGGGAGGCCTTGTTTTTCCGGTGGTGACGACAGGAGGCAGCTGAGAAGTTCTTGTGAAAGTCAATCACACTCCTGGGGCAAGGCTCTCGTTTAGGGAGCGTAAAATGCAGACACTACTCTCGAATACGCGTCGAGCGTGCTGAGCATTATACCACGAAGGCATGCTAAGAAGGCGGGATAAATATTTTATAATTTTACAGTACACGATATCGATTATTGTCTCCCATAAATAAAGTTCTAAAGGCCTTACATGAAGTGGTTTGAACTTTAAAAACTTCTTGACCCTACCAGGTATCTTTGAATATTCGTATCTACGCACACTATACTTGTACCGCTAACCCCTATCTCCTATGCAAATGTGCCTCATATAATTATGGCAAACGTGTAAAACTTTCCAACAAACTGATGATGAAAAGCTCCTACTAATGAAAAGGACTCTTTGCTGTACAGGATCTTTCAACTTACTTACCATAAAACGAGCCAGATTGAAATTGCACTTCAGCAATGTTCTCAAACTTGAAATGTCATTTTAAAATACTCTACCATTCTCAAACGAGAACTGTGCCCCAGCCATTTTGATTTTATACCTTACCTCACAAATTCATTTTACATTCAGCTGAATAATGTCATCTCTTGAAAAGAAACTATACTACACATTATTAGGATGATTCCATACAACTCCTAAAAACATTCGCAGTTATCGCCTGTTAAAATAGTTTTGTCAGAGACTGCTATTAAATTTTTCGGAGAAGAAACAAGAAAAATCAACTGCTTCCTTTCTGTATTAAAAAAATCTGATGTGTACACCACATGACTTCCTTGTACGGTATATTAAATTATACGCATTTTTTCTTGCATTTTATTTAAACTTATTAGATTGAATTAAACCTACTTCGCCGACAGCGCATAAACCACAATAGAATAAATGCATTCTTTAAAATTCACTTTGTTTACCATAGCGACACTCTGGCGCTAGGTTTACTTAACAGTATTATATTTCATTCATATTATAACTCAGAATGCACAAAATTTATATTATTTAAAGAATTATCTAATCGTTTCCACATGTTCTATTCAAATACTATAACAAAGCTAGAACGATGTATAAAAGAAATTAAGCAAACAAAACAAAAAAGAAACAGTTTTACACAGACGATTGACTATTTCTCATTCAATTAATTCAGTTTTCACTTCGCGACAAGGCAAAAATACATAAAACTCAAAATATCTGTATTAAAAATTAGGAAGTAAATCTTAAACGCTTATTTCCTCGAAAAAATTCCAGAAAGGATTACGCATGATTTAAATAATAAATGAACGCGTTATCTTTGTTGTTGCGAAGCTAAGGTTTCTAGATTGGCAACAAACCCGCTATCCTGCTGTTTCAAATGTAAACAAGAGCAATGGCCGCCATCAAAAACATTATTAGGCTTAGCGGCACTTAAACAATTTCAAAATTGTTGATAATTCTAAAAATATTCCATACAGATTTACTAAAGGCATAAAAACCTTAACCGGAAGATAAGAACAACATAATTCAATCATTTTTAAAGCAAAAAATGTACAATTTACACACATATAAGAGTAAAGAATCTGAGATCACTGAGCCGGGTAACAGAGTGGGATATATATATAAATATATTTATATACGTTCGGTGCGGCGGCTGATTGCAACCACAATACGAGGTGCACATCTACACGTTGTAGCAGTCCTATATACAAAATTGCAACGTTCTGAGGCTGCTCGTTTTTGAGTTATGCGAGATACGTACGTACGTTCGTACAGACGCCACGAAAAATTGTTTTCAGAATTCATTTTAAAGCAGTTTTATATATTTTTTTTTGGAGAAAAAGAGTGTTTTATTCTGTCCTTACATACAGATATCACGGAAATACAGCGTTAAATTGCATTTGAAAGAGGTCAAAATGCGATATTTTCGTTGAAATATGCTGCCTGAAACTTTTCTCGATTACAATACTTTCTTTTTACTTCGTACAAGGAAGTAAAAATGGATGTTTTCATTGTTAATTGGATATGTTAATCGTATACACCATAAAAGCACGCACAGAAGAATGCAACGATTCCTTACAATACTACATCACATATTTTTGGCTTGTTAATCTTGTTACAATTTGTGCCTTAAAAGATAAAGCATTAATTTTCTTCTTGGTTTTAGGTGGTGGACACTTCCAGTAGTATGAGACTGGTGACTCGTGCTCTGTTGCTGTTGACAACGTTTTCCTTGGTCTTCCTTCTCTTCATCGGTCGGTGTGGGCTAAGATTGGATGAAGAACTCCGCTCCACGTCTTCCAGTTCCCAATTCAGCAACGACTTCCTCCAACAGTCCATGTCGCCAGACTCTTACTATTTAGACCTCTTGCACAGGAGAGAGGAAGAGCACAGATCTGAAATTAAAGCTCTAAAAGACGAGATTTCGAATCTGAAGAAAAAGGTGAAGTACTCCTACAACTTGAATTTTCAAATCGTTTGTTTCTTATTGGACGTTTAATGTAATAATGAATTTCAGAAATGTAATTGCTTATGTAATCTGTGGGCTAATTTTCCTTTTTGACTGCCGTGAGGCAGCTGACTTTCATATTTGGAACATGCACATAAACGCTCTTATATTAAAATACAAGTACTTTTATTAACATTTTTGCGAAGGTGTCTATCAAAAATCAATGCGCAAGAAATTTTCGATATCTCCAAGCTTATTATGCAAGGTATTTTCTCCCTCTTTTCGGTATATCTTCGTGGTGTAACAGTATCACACTCGGCACGTATTCGAGAGGTCCACGTTCGAGCCCCGGCGAGGGCATTCCTCGTTTTTCATGTACTCTTGCTACCAAAAAGTAATAATACTCTACAGTATCGCCCCAATCTAAAATGAAAATATTTTTATTTATAACTGTATGCAACTCAACGTAATTTATAACTGTGTAGGGTTTATATTTATTTTAACTAACATTTATTTTAAGTTTAAACTATCTTTCCTGTCAAGCCTTACTTTCCCCTGGAATTGCCAATGCCAGTGTGTGTAAATTTTAGTAGAACGCGCAAGGATTCAAATTGTCAGCGGAAGTAATCTGAGTTAAATAGAAGTGAAACGAGTTCAGAAGGGTTCTTTTCTTGCTTCACGAGCGTGGAGGTGGCTAGTTAGAAATTGAAGAACCACGCGTTTCGGCCTGTGTGCTTGCCTCGGCAGATTGTTAATCTTTCAACGTAATATTCAGAAGTTTGCTGAATTATCAGCGGTATCTTAGAACGCGGTGAGGTTAGTTACGCTTAGAGAGCCTCGTAGTTAGTCACTTATTACTATTCCTTTTTTTTAGTTTCTTATTTTTATTTTACCGCCGGGTCGCCGTAGTGTGTGAGCGTCAAGAGCACGCATTTGTAAATTCTAAAGTTGAATAAAAAGGGATTTAAGCCCTTCTCAAGACTTTGTCTACTTTCCAGTTCTCAGCAGTCACCACTATTGCTGCGTGCAGGTTGGAAGCGCGCAACATTACAACTGTATTCATTTAAACCTGAATTTTTATTTATAACTGTATTCGACTGGTAGTGGATGATGATTCTTCGCCACCAGGATTTGGCGGCTGTGTCCCCTAACCCCCCAGTCGCTCTTTAAAAGGGGAAGTATATAAGGTATTTTATCCCTTCTTTCTACATGCCTTTGTTGTGTAATGGTAACACACTCGGCGCATATTCGAGAGATTCAGGTCTAGTCCCGGCAAGGTCTTTGCACATTTTTCATGTACTCCTGCCTCCAGAACATCCTAATGACTCTATAATTACAACACATGAAACATATTTCACATAAAATATTGAACTGTCAATGAGAAAACTTCTAAATGCTCATCAATATTTTCTTTAGATTTAAAATGAAGTCTTTATGACTTACGTCAAAATGCTGAATTTAGAACTCATTACTATAAGGAAAGAAGTGCGGTTAAATCAAAAATCTTCAGTTAGTTGTTATTGAAATCTAAGGTATAAAATCACTTTAGGTTCCCATTCAAGAGTTGCACAAAATAATCAGTATTAATTTTTTTCTCTTTTTGATACTCAGAGAGTTTAATCAATCTCTAGCAGGATCTGAAAAGAGAAAATATTTTTCATTACTTTATCTCGTAGAGCTCTTCATAGAGCCGTTCTTTTGCTGCAACAAAATGCAGCCCATATTTTTCACTGATTGAATAAAAATAATAATCTACAGTTACCAATAGTTAAACTAAACTTCTACTCTCAAATAAAATTCAAATTTTAATTTAAAAAATGAACTTTAGTTTTGATAGTTCCGTAATTTGTCCTTGCATTCATTTTTTTCGACTTCAATACCTGATACTGTACACTGGCTGAACAGATATTTCAATGATTAATCTTATGTTCTACGTGTATAACATAATCTTTGAATCCTAGTCAAAACCATCTTTTATAAATTATCAGTAAGAAAATTATTTGTTTCTTTTTCATTAAAGGAATAACAGTTATAATAACTTTCGGAGTTGAATACAGTTATAAATAAAAATATTGTCATGTTAATCATTATTAAAAGTACTTGAATATTATAAAAGACTAGCGAAAGTACCCGATGCCAGTTAAGTTAGATTAAGAGCAATACATCTAACAACAGAGAGAACGATACCCCTGTAATCTTTCTCTAATGATGCAAAAAATACGATTCATAATCATATATGTTTCAGTCTGATGCAATACGGAACCTGCATAAAAAAATTTCGATAGAAAAATAGGCTCTCTCATTATATCAGCAACAACGGCATGCAGTTTTAATGATTTTCGTCTTTCTAATCAGATGGTCGTTGAAGCTCAAGTTCCATCCAATATTTCACCTATATTCAATTTTAGTCGATTAAATGTGGCAAAAAAACTGATCATAATTGATCAGAAATCAATAACGCGAACAAATAAATAAACACACAAACAGATATTCTTCTTTATATATACAGATTTTGTAAAACTTACAAAATTTTGATTAAAAAAACCCTATGATTTAAGCGAGCAGTAACAACACATTTCGAAACAAAGGATTTTTATCTCTAAGGCTCGAGACTGTTGCCACTCGGAAAAATGAGTGCGAAAAATAGCGGTTTCAGAGTTTTTAATTAATATTTTGGCTATTAAAGTCCTACAAAGATGGCAATAGTCGAACTGGTTCCCACGAATTTTTGGAATCGGGAATAATTTATTTAATATTTGGCAATGTTATTTTTATTTCATCATAAAACTTAGTAATTTTTTATTAAGAAACTCGATTAAACTTAAACGATTTTAAGCGAGCAGTGGCAACAAGTCTTGAAATAAATCAAATTATAGTCTTGAAATAAAGCAGATTTTTATCTCCAGCGTACAAGACGGTTGCCACTCGGTAAAATGGGGGCGAAAATCAGCGTTTTTAGAGTTTTTAATTAACATCTCTGATTTTAGCTACTTTTGTTTCGGAAAAAAGTGGACGTCGACCTTTCCCAGGACCCAGAAAAGAATTATGGAAAGTTTGGTAACGATAGCTATAGTAGTTACTTAGTTATTAGCGAACAAACAAAAAGACTTTCTTCTTTATATATATAGATAGATTACTGTTTAAGCAATATTCGAGATACTATGAGTTTATGACATGTTCTAAGCTTAAAATCTGTATTTCTGTACTCATAGAACTAAAATAGATATTAAGCAGGGTCAAAATCAATTTTAATGTTTTCAAAAATTAGAATAATAACTTTGCTCAACAAAGTTTAATATAACTTTAAAGAACAAAGTTCACTTTATGTAACTTTATTTGTTGAAGATTCAAAGTGACTTTAATTAATAAAGTTTTTAAGTTTCTCTGTAACTAAAAGAAGAAAATAAATGTTTCCATGCTCGAGGGAAATGTATTACTTTTCTAAATTTATCCAGTCAATAAATTAAAATGTAGCAACAATTTTCTAAATTTGAATTTAATAAATTAGAATAAAGTTTTTTTCCAAAAGGCTAATTAAAAACGTTTAAAGTTTTCTGAGGCGAACATGCAATTGTTTTTATTAATGTTGCATCAATAAAAATAATCTTAGCTGCCATAGCTAAAATATTCTATAATATATTTCTTCGCTTTGTTTTCATCACTTTCAATTTTCTAGCGTCCTTTTCTTTTTTGCTTATCGAGAATCAGATGCGAAAAATATGCACATTTTTTCAAATGTAAGTCAATACCGAGTAATGTAATGTAATGCAATATACCAGTGTGGTGCAACCCCCCTGTCCTATAATAATCGGCTTGATGGTTAACGCAGCACACCCAACACAGACAAACAAAAATACAGCTAAAAGATTAAAACAGAAATACACTCAGCATTAAACCAAAATTCTCAGTATTATTCTATTGCCATTTATAAAGTTTATCAACTCCTTTGCAAATCTAAACTCTTTATTGCGGCAGTAGAATTCCTTTATGTTACCATGTTTTCCCTAACATGTTGCAATAATACGTAGTCTTCAAAGAAATGGCGTGCATTGCCTTTAGCATTACAAAAACTAATATTGTGTAAATTAAATCTTTTCAGGTACACCGGGAAGCGCCTGTGTTCAGTAATTATTTGATGGTAGTCAAAATCACATAACATTCTCATATTTTTAGAAACTTCAAAGTTCAACAAAAAATCCTCCCTTTTTCCCAAAATCTTCCATTTTTCTTTCCAGCAATCATAGTAGAAATCCTTGATTTAACTAATAACAATTGTTTTTTATGTTTGAATATCCGAGCGCTTTTCTTAATGCAGGATGTATACTACTAAAATTAAAGACATAAAAAGATATATTACATGCATCAAAACTTCTGTAAGTAATAAAATCAAAATTTTGTGAGCGTAATTTAAATTTATCATAATAAAAAGAATAAAATATCGAGAGGGGCGACTTATCGGCTAATCTGCTAATGACTTCTGTCGAGAGATGGTTTTAAAGCATTTGGTCAGAAGCAGCAGCCAGGGTAGTTGTATTGCATCTAGTTTATTTGATTCGTTGCTGGTCCGCGACCCTGGAACCCGAAGCCCCAACACCATGTAATATAATAGGAGTAAAAACAGTTTTGTTAATTAATCTAATAATGTTACTTTTCCGTTAAGACAATACCGGGTACCGTGAATTTGTTTTTAAATTAACCATATAAATTCTTACAAATACCATGATTAGCAGAAGCCATGATTTTATAAAGCTGATTTAACTTGTAGAGTCCAAATGTGTGAACTTCTATCTGAAACTGGAGTAGCAGGAAACTACACAAGAGAAGGGTTAAAATACCCTTTATTAAATCTTTTGAAAACTTACAATGCGTCAACTTGACGCTAACAAACTTCGCTTCTGCTTGGGAAGTCACATAATTTCTATTAACTAAAATGTGAAGATATGAACAAACGATAGACCTAGACTACAGGGCTCATCGAGGTCTCGTAACTTAAACCCCCTTCGAAGCTAGCGGCAGCAGATAAATGCAATTAAGCCACTTGGACCAGCAATAAGCAAACGTACCTACGGCAGAGACGGCAGCTAGTGCATAACTCTTTCTTTTCTCCTACCAAACCTTGGCTTTTAACTACTTTCTTCAATTACCTATTCTGGCACAGACAATTAGGGGAATGAAGGCTTGTAGGAAAGTTAAAAATAAAACTTTAAGTTATTAGTTAAAATAAATATAAATCCCTACAAACTCTTAAAATATAACACACATGTTCTGAAATTTTTATTCATTGTATTCATGTCATTCTTTCTTACAAATACCATATCATAACGAAACTGACATCTGGGCATCAAACTGTGGTCAATTCAAGCAATCTACTCTGCGTAAACCATTCGAATCCCATCTTTGAAAGATTCATTAATTGAGATGCCCTGTAGTAGTAAGACTGAATTTAAGTCTCGAACAATCAAAAACACATTCTGAGTGTCACTGTCAGACAATTTTTTACTTCTGTTTTTATATGACGGTATCTACAAGCATAATGAAAGAATTGTCATATTAGAAGGAAATCTGACGGCACATGTTACTAACTGTAATACAAATAAATGATTGTGAGTTTAGAGCATTGAAGCTGCATTCTTAGCACAAAATTAGCATTGTCTTGAGACACGAAGAGCGTAACAAGAGAGCCCTGGTATTGCATCAATATGGCTTTGGTTATGTTTCTGACGTATTACCTGTTAACCTGTCTTGATCTGAATTCTCACTTATTTAGTGCTATCTTCTAGAAAAAAAGTATCCTTAAACGTGGCTCATTTTCCATGAGGGCTAATTGAATATTTTTATCGCAAAAATTTGGAAGGGGCACTTGTAACGGTACATTAATATGTGTATTTTCATAATCATTAGAGTATTTTTTAAATTCTGAGATATATCTTTTTTTCTCATATTAGTATCCTTTAAACCCTAGGTGTCTCTTCCAATCTGACTTTTAAGAATTGTTAAGCAACAAATTCCTAAATTGTTAATTTAAATGTGAATATTATTATTATTGTTACTAAATTAAGCTCGATCATTAAAAAATATTTGAAATATGTTGCATTAGCATTTTATTTCCTCATGAAAAAAATTCCTTTTTCCTCCCTTTTGATGATACTGATATCAAGGGGTGCATCTTATAGTCGATTATGTATCTTAGAATACGAAATACGGTTTTAAGATGCCTCCCCCTCTCCCGCGAATTAGGTTGATTGTTTAACAATTAACGTATCTCGATACTTCAGAGGTAACAGGAAAAAGGCTACAAATTCATACAGCTCAGTTTTATCTAAATTATACAGTCTGAGCTTGACAGACGAATAGAAAAATTTAGAAATACGCTAACTGACAGTAGACAAAAACTCTTAAACGATATAGCCCACCAGCGGCCGAGCGGTAAAGTCGCTGAACACTGGTAGTTCGGTCCGATGTTCGAGTCCCGCGAACGGGCTGGCTGCATGGGCGTTTTCGTGGTTTTACCCATGTGTAACGTGTATACGAGCCAGTTTCCCTTAGAAAGTCCTCAAAGAAGGCATTCCTCCCCTTAGGCAGATAGCCCTCGAGGCTTTGCCATAATCACCTACACACTTAGACGATATATAAATTTATATAAAAAACTCTTAGATTTTGTGCAGAATTAATAGTTTAAAAACTGAATGTTCAGAATATTTGCTTATGAGAACGTTTCGTAGTGGCTTCATATAATGCAATTTACTGATCTGAAAATAATCAATTTCTTTTTTTTTTATCTCATTAATTTTTTTTTTCGTTTCTATTTTTTTTCTTTCAGTAATTAAAATTAAACAATGTGTAAAGTTTAAATATATTATTCACAAATATAGTAATCATTCTGTTTACTAACGTATAAAATTTGTAAAACTTTGTGGATGAATTTCTGATATTTATCATCATATAAAACATTTGTATGACGTAATATGCGCATATGAGTACGCATACGAAAGCAATATAATTTTGTAACGCTATGTATGAAACTAAAATATTATTTTGTTAATTACTTTGAGTTCTTGTGCTGATGTTATTGAATAGTTGTATCTTTACATGTAATTTTTTTCTAAACTTTCAGGTTTCTGATTTGCAGAAGCCCTTCGTGGATTCTGTATCTGTGCCTATCATAGAACCTCATCCTAAATCTCATGGAGATGCAGAATCTGCACGCTCTCTGGAATGTTCAGAATATCTGAGAAAGCAAGTCGCATCCGCCGAAATCCGACACGGCGTACAACTGAACAATGAGTACGAGATCGTTCCTTTCACCCATTTCACTTTCGGAAGAGTTTATCCTGTCACCCTTGGCCTTGGCAAAAGGGTCGTCGAGAAACCTATCGGTTACAAACGTAAGGACCTTCTTGAAGTATTTGTCAGAGCCTTGGACGTCATCAACAGAGACAAAAGGGGTAAACAGCGATACACTGTGGATGACTTCACTGAGGGCTTGTTTCGCAATGAGCCAACGACTGGTTCCCATTACGAATTGTACTTCAAAGAAAAGAATATGTCTCGAGTCTATCACAGAGTGGTTCTTATGAGGCCTTTCGGCCCAGTACAAACTCTAATAAACGAAAGAGTACGAACATCGAAAGAACTTATTAATGTTATTCTGCCCCTTTCAGGTAGAATAGACATTTTTAGGACGTTCATGGACAGGTTTGTGAAAGTTGCAATAAAGCATGATAAAAAAGTCTTCCTTACAGTTGTATATTTTGGAGATGAAGGTCTTCATGAAGTGCGTGTCATCCTGACTAAAGTATCCCGGGAGGCAAAATTCCGAAATCTAAAATTGCTGACTTTAAATGAAACATTTTCAAGGGGCAAAGGCCTACAAGTTGGTGTGCAGCACTGGTCAAAAGGAGATGTCTTACTATTCCTGTGCGATGTAGATATTGTCTTTACCAGCAGGTTTCTGGAACGTTGCCGTTTGAATGCAGCACCAGCAAAGAAAGTCTACTACCCTATCGTCTTTAGCTTATATAATCCTTCTTTAGTTTACTCATTACAAGGTAAAGAGACTCCATCAGAAGCAGATCAGCTAACGATTTCCAGAGATTCAGGGTTCTGGAGGGATTTCGGTTTCGGGATGACATGCCAATATCGAAGCGACTTCATGAATGTAAAAGGCTTTGATGAAGACATTGTCGGGTGGGGTGGAGAAGATGTTATGCTGTATCGAAAATATGTAAGAAGCAATTTAGTAGTTGTAAGAGCTACCGATCCAGGTATCTTCCATATGTGGCACGAAAAAGTATGTGATCCAGATTTGTCGGTTGACCAATACCGTGCTTGCTTAAGGTCTAGAGCCCTTGGTGAAGCCTCCCACGCCCAGCTAGGCCTTTTAGCTTTTGGCGATGAGCTGAAGAAACACCAGAGCATCTTGGATTCTCAGAGTACCTCAACAGTGGACGGAACCGTTGTCGATGTGATAGAGAAGCCTTCTCGGGCTCAGTTGGATCATCGCTGAGTCAGTTCTGTGATGATGAATCTTGGTTCCATATATTACTCAGCCGTAAACTTGTGATTTATTTATGCTGCTTGTTCTACAATTTGGGATTTGCAAAAGCAAAAAAAAATATTTATATTTTTATTCAAAGCCTTTCTTTGAAGATTTGCATATCAGAAACTTGATATATATAGCAACTGATCAATTATGAGATGCTATGAATTCCAACGGTCTTTCGCAGTGTTATGTTGAATATTTAAGCTACGTTTTACCAAACAAGATCAAGAAGATGATAGATTAAATTCGTTGAAGAAGACGTGTATAGCAATAAAAATAATTAATACTTTTTTTCAAATGGAATTTTTTATGGAAGATAATTGTAACAATTGTCGATGCTTAGAAAGTTACAAAATGACTTTACGGTAAACCTACTGAAGTAAAACTTGCCTTGTTAAATGAACTGTTTATAGTTTTAGTGACTTCCAAGTGGAAAATGAAAACTTGTTTGGAAATGCTGGTTTAAATACTCGACATAAAAAAATTCATTGTGTGGAATTCTCTTATTTCACATAAGCAGAACGTGTTGGTTAATATTTATTTAAATTTCTTATGCACATGGGTATTTTTAATTAATATTAAAAAGAACTAAAGTCAACGTGTGTTATCTACATAGTTCCAAAGATTATTAAATAAAGTGTTTAATTTATTTACTTTTACCTGAATAAAATATTATTTCATGACTTTCTACATAAAATAGAAAAGTGCTTTGAATTAGTGTTTAGAATTTTCCTTTATTACAATGAAGTTAATTCGTTAGAAAAAAGAAAGAAGTTTAAATGCTATGTTAATTTAAATGTATGCAAAGAAAATATTCTAAGATTATTTATATACATGGGAATATTACTTGGGTCAGCTGTAAAAGATGCGAGTGAAGGGTTTAAAGTAAACCTTTGAGACTGGATTTAAATTTAGTCTCTTAAAATTATTTTAAAACCACTTTTATAAATTTAATAACGATAATTTTGTCAATAATTTTAACTTATAATACTGAAATAAAGTCATACTCTGACTTTATGCATGATAACTTAATGCATGATTGTTTTCAGGTAATTAAAATCAACATTTTAAACCATAGATATCGGATTGCTGCTTTAAATATAATAAAAATGTTATTATACCTTTTCGCTCAAAATAGATATTTTTTGTGTGTAATATTCAGCACCAAAAAAGGAAATACATTTTAACTACATTTCCTACGAAACTACTGTAAAAATAAATTACCCATCTTATAGAAAACGGAAATAATTTTTGTTTCAACAGCATTAATCTTTATCAGCACTCAGAACACACTAAACAAGTGTAGAAGACTAGCCTGCTCTTTTCTAATGCCAGTATTCAGATTATAGCTGAAATATTCCTTTTGCATTCAGAACACTAAATATTACTTTCGAATAACACTCAAAATTACTTTTTCATGCAAGTGAAATTATTATTCTCTTTTCTAAAGCCGGTGTTCATACTATAACTGAAACAGTACTTTAGCATCCAGAGTAGATTAATAGAGAGAATAACAGCCTTCCCTTTTCTAAAGCCTGGCTTTATTCACTCTATTTATATCGTATCTGAAATATCGTATCTGACATACCCTATCTGACATACCGCATCTGAGTTCATGCCGTATCTGATACATTCAGAACACACTAATATTATAACATAGCAGCCAATCTTTTTCTAAAGTAAATGTTCTTAACTGATATACACTCTATAAAAAAAATCGACGCACCAAGAAGGAGCTGTCCGAGGGAGATAAAAATTGGTGGATAGAAAGATGAAAGATTATGTGCAAGATAAAAAATTATTAAATTTTCAGAACAATTGAATGATTTATTTCAGAGTTACATAGTTACAAAGTAACGAGCTCAATAAAGTGTTGACCCACCTCTAGCCTGGATGCAAGCTGCCACACGGCGTGGCATAGACTGATAAAGCTTCAGATTGGTCACCTGCGGTATTTCTTGCTAAATTTGCTCCAATTGTCGGACTAGGTCATCAACATTTCTGGTAGATGCGCTCGCCTTCCCATCATATCCCAAACATGTTCAATGGAAGAGAGATCTGGAGATCTGGCTTGCAAAGGAAGTGTTTGACAAGCTGTAAGACAGTTCATAGAAACACGTACCGTATATATGTTTGGCATTTTCTTCCTGAAAAATAAGGTCAGGGTACTGAAAAAGGAACGGGAGCAAAACTGGTCTCAGAATGTCGTCGACGTACCGCTGTGCTGTAAGTGTGCCTCTAATGACGACCAAAGGGGTCCGGCTATCAAGGGAAATGGCACCTCAGACCATGACTCCTGGTTGAGGACCTGTGTGACGTGCAATAGTGAAAGCAGGATCGGCACGCTGCTCTGGGCGTACGTCCCCAGTCAGCATCATTCCAATCTGATGGAGCCAAGCACCATTGTAATCCGGCTCGACAGTGTGTAGGCGTGAGTGACAGGTGGCCTAACGGTCGTTACGAAGGTAGATTTCGCTCTATCAGCTGTCTGTGAATGGTCATGATGGACACTCGTGTGCGGGTCGCACGTCTGATGGTTGATATCGATGAATCAGGCACTGTGACAGCTGATCTGACCCGATCTGTTATGGCCCTAGGTCGACCGCTACCATCATCACGCTGAAATCTGCCATTGTGTACCCATTCTTTCCAGCATCTTCTAATTGCCGCATCTCTTCGACTCATATGACGAGCGATTCTCCGATTTACTTAACCTTCCTCTTTCAATCCAATGATACGACGTTTTCAAACTCTGACAGTTGCTCACAATGAGCACGAATCCTGCGACGAGATGTTTTTTCAGTCGTTGAAAGGTATCCTAAATCTCAATGCAGAAGAATTTTTAACAGCACTAAGAACAGCTATTTATATACATCTGCTGGATGCACAGTTCGGATGCGCTGGAGATTGCACTATTCATTCATTGGACACCCATATTTTAATCATTTGCATATTTGGTCAAGATTTATGCATACGAAGTTTCAAAGTAATCAGATGACTATTTCTTGGTGTGTCGATTTTTTTGTTATAGAATGTACTTTAAGTGTTCAAAACACGCCAATAATGTGGGGAAATAACCTGGCGTTCATACTATAAATCAAATAGTGCTTTAACATTTAGAACACACTAATAATGTGACAGAATAGCCAACCTTTTCCAAAGACGGTACTCGTGGTGTACTACTATACAGTCCGTGACATATGTTAAACAACTTCTAAAAACATAGTAAAGCACACTAGTAGTGTGACAGAATAACTTGCCGTTTACTAAAGCTAGTGTTTGTATTATATGTAAAGCATTAGCGGTCAGAACACACTAACAGTATGATATAGAAATTAGTCCTTTTCTAAAGCCAAGGTTTATAATATAACTGAAATATTACTTCAACTTTTAAAAACACATTAACAATGTGTTCTGAGTAATGGTAATTTTCATTATAAGTCTGTCGTTCCAACGCCATTTATGGTTCTTCAATACACTGATTTGCGCGGGAAAATATCGGATGTTGCTATTCGAAAATTTCGAATGTTTTCAAAGTAACTGTAACCGTGAGAGCTCCACTGTTTTAAATCATCACAATCTCGATAGCAAGCCTTTAAATAGCAATATCTGAATTTTTATTTCAAACGGCTAAGCGGATAGGCCGCTTGGAGTTCCTATATCGAAGAAATTTTTTTCATGACCACCCTTTATGGTTTTATTGTTATTACAATTTCCCCCCACGAAGCATTACGTAACGACAGCATTGCCAATAGGTCCTATGATTTCACACCAATGTTTTATGATTGGTGCCGAGTGTGCCCCATTAACAGAAAAGTACCTAAATATGTAATAGTCAATAATTAATATTAAGCTTCTGACAGAAGATGGAAGCTCAATATTTATAAAAGCATAAAATATTCGCGTACAAAATTTGTATTTAAATCATGATTAGATTAGATTTTGTCTAGTAATTTCATTTTGTTTTTTTATATTTATGAAACAATTTACATTTGATAAAGCCATATAATTCAGTAAGTTTATGTGATAATTTAATAAGATTACATGTTTTGTGATATTAAAGTAAAATTTTCAAAATACATAAAATAATCTCTATTTTTAGAAAATTTCTTTAGCCCAAAGGTGCGGTAGCCCAGAAGGCTACTAGTTTCAAAACGGCCTTTTATGATGTTTCAACGACAAATCACTTTTCAAATTATTGAAACCAAATATTATATTTAAAGAAATTAAAAAATGACGAATCTGGTGTATGTATGTTTATCGCATTATGAAACCTAGAGGTACCTAGAGCATCAAATTTTGAATAACGTAATCCTCCAACCGAACATAGGCACATGAAAGCCCGAATTTTTAATTTCGAATTTGTTTTGTTATATATTTCATATTTTATAAAACTTTAACGAATTTATAATTAACAAACTCAACGATGTCAAAACGAGTAATGTCGAAACTGCACGGGCTAGAAAAACATTTTATCTCCAGCGAGCCAGACTGTTTATCGGAATTTCTGAAGATATGTTGTTTTTAAATATTTTGTGGTATTGCTCTTGAACTGAATTTTATGTGGGTAAATGCAAAGAACATGATATTTGATAAATAAAGGTAGCACACAAAACATCGAAAAAACGCTGCTTTGGGCGTAATATAAAACCTGAAAGCTTTAAGATTTTTTTTATCCCAAAGGGGCAAATTACAAGAAGGGCTATTAATTTCGTTTTGGCATTTTGCATTGGTTCACTATAAACGGCGTTTCACTTTTCAAGTTGTTGCTAACAAATATTAGAGCCTTGCATTAATATTTAAAGAAAAGAAATTAAATAATGAAGAATCTGTATGAATGTAATCATATTTCTCGCACTGCAAGAAAACAACTACACCTAGAGACATCAAATTTTGAATAACCTAGTGCTATTTTTGAATAACCATAGTCCTCCAGTCGAATATGGGCATTGAGAAGCCCATATTCGGAATTTGTTTTATTATTTATTTCATATTTTGTAAACCTTTAAGGAATTTTTGATTAATTAACTCAACGATTTCAAAGCGAGCAAGGGCAAAACTGTACGGGGAAGGGAAAAAAAATTTATCTCCAGCGCTCGAGACTGTGTATCGGAAATTCTAAAGACATTTACTTTTTATTATTTTATGACACTGCTGGTGAACTGCGCTGTGTGGTTCAAGTGCGAAGAACATGATATTTAATAAATGATGGTAACATTTTAAAAAACGCCCCGTTGAACGTAATATAAAATCTGAAAGCAGAATTAATTTATTTTTTTTTTAGTTTATTTCAACTACTTAAGCTCTTTCAACTGTATGTTAAATCTTTTCATCTTACTTTGATCTATGCGTGCTTTGCAGCTTAAGCTACCAAACTTTACGACTATTTTTTTAGTGGCGTATTGTTCGAGCATTAGTTAGAAAAACATTATTGTTTCGATAAGAATTCTTATTTTTCTTCAAGTGAATGTTTTCTAATTTTTCGTAAAGTGGATGTTTTATTCTTGCAGTTTCATACATAGAATCACTTCAGTTTTTATATACTAATTCTACTTAAATGCATGGATACAAATTAAATTTTATGACATGATAATGAAGAATATGTTTAGTCAGTCTGAATGAAGAATATATTCGGTCGTTTAGCCGTTTTTTTAAACGTTTCGTG